ACAATCAGGACATGACACATTTTCTAACATACAGTCGTACACAATAATGATACACAATATATTGGTGATATGGCGGGTCCTGTTTGTCCTCCGGACTGTGTTCGATGACTGCACGTTATAATTTCGCTCGAAGGAGCCTTTAGTTGGCCCACCACGATGCCAAGCGGAACCTCATAATGACAATTGACGCTCCACTTGCACCGCAAGTTGATGTGCTTCCACCACACATAAAGCCTAAAGGATCAAACATGTTTAAAACGTCTTGAAAACTACGACTGAAGACCCGTTAGTGTGAACAAGAAAGAACTAAAAATTAGTAATATATTCATACATCGAATGCAAGGTTTGATGCAAGTTTTGACAACTTAGATTCATAAATATATGACAAGAACGTGGTCCGAACATGATGAGAAGAATACATCGGGAATCGAGAACCTCTTTTAGGCTTCATTTAGGACGATTTTCTTACTGCTTTTTAAAATAACTTTTTACTATAAAAATTAATTTTTTTGTATTAAAAATTGCTTTAAGAAGCAATAAGTTGTCTCAAATAAAGTCTTAGTTTCAGAATTTCCTCAACTATAAGCTTCCAATCCCCCTTAAGCCTGCCATTGAATTCAAGAATATCAAGGTTGAAACTAGCTTCCCAACGCCGAAGACTCAGCATGAATGTGCGCACAGGTCACCTTGCTCTATATCCATTAGGCCGGTGGATCCTGCCCTGCTGTAGCCCATCAATTTCTTTGAATACTTTGAACGGAGATTGTGTTCTTAATCTACTATAATTTGTTCACTCATTGGCACCAAAATATTTCCAATAAGAATGGCTTATTGATATATTTTATAACGTGAAGAACTGTTTTCTTCATTATTTAAGTTTCATTTGGAACGATTTTTTTATTACTTTTAAAATAGTTTTCTAATAATTTTCTTATAAAAAAATGTTTTAAAAACAATAAAAAAGTTGTTCTATACAAAATCTTAATATAATATTATAGCTTATTTCATCGTACAGTGCTAAAACCTTTCTCTTTAAACTGATGAGAAATCCATACACCATGGAATAAATTTACAGTGCTGGGATCTGTACTTCTCTTTTGCTTTCAGTGTGCGTGGATTCTCCGCGCTGAAGTTCTTTAGGTTTATGCTTGAAAGCTCAACTCTACTAACAGACGAAATCTCAGCCGTCCGATGGCCAACTTGATGTCCACGTCGATATGGATTGATCCCTGACCATTTGGCCAGACAGAAAATTCTTTTCTTGCCAAAGAAGTTGTGATCAGAGAGGCATAAGGGCATCTCCAACCACTTCATTCGGGCCCTCTAACTATATTGTCACGCCAATATTATCATCACATTGTTCATAAATACATTTATTTTTAAGACAAAATATACACAAAATATTAGTTTTTTGTGTTAAAAATAGAATTCGGTTGTAGATGGATTAATATTTGATATGTCTCTTATTATATTTTGAAATGAAAAATAAATTTTTCGGTTGGAGATTTCCTAAATGTATAATTGAATCTTGTTTATGTTATTTATAATTTTAATTTGAGCTTAATTTTATGAATTTGGGTAGATTAAGAAATCAACTTTTTTATAATTGTTGCATCCTGGAGTATTCGTGGCAGTAGAGAAATATATAGTTTAACGTCATAACATTATATGAAGATACAGCGTAGTCGATGAGGAGCTTCTTCATTCTCTTCTTCCTTCTTTTATCTTCTTCTCTTCTTGCTTGGAGCCCCCTTTAAAGAGAAATGAGGGGTCTATTTATAGATTTATGGAGTGACATGACCCGTAAATAGGTGAGAGATCAAGGGTGAATGGAGAGTAGTTGGATGGACGGCTGTTATTGAATCCCTTGATCGTGGACCGTTCATCAGATATTAATTTGAAGGTCTTAATGATATCGGAATTCTGCGATCTTGAGCTCGTTGGATTTGTCTCGTTGAGCCGCTCGATTCAGTGATAAGCACGTTATGTTTGGAAACCATTTGGTAATCCAAATTGGGGTTCAAACCCTCCAACAGTGCTTCAGACCCTTGATTTGGACCCATTTGGGCTGTGATTGAGTCAAATTTGGTGTCGTTGAATTCGTATTTTCGAGATGTTCAATTTGACTGTAAGTTTGCTGAAATTGGAGTTCGGATGGTCCCAATTTAATTTCAAAAGTTTCCAACTTGATTTTGCATCGATATTCGTGCTCGATCAAGATAATTTTTTGATGACGTATCAATAATGAATGAGAAAAATATTTTTAATTCAAATAATAATTATAATAAAAGAAGAATGAACTTGGAGGTATGTTCAAAATTATTCATTTTTTCTTTTACATTCATTTATAAAGTTTTTTATGTATTTTTATTATACTTGTAACAACATATTTGAAACTACTTCTATCAACAATTATTAAACTATGACTTCATATTCATATTTATTTGAGTTTTGAACATATATAATTACTTATGTTTTCCTTAATTAGCTCCTTGGTTAATCTGTTTAAAAGCATAACAGTGAGTTTTCTAATCAAATGATAGCTAACTATATTAACCTTCTTGAATCATTAAATTAATCAAATGTATAGTTTATAATTTCTTACCAAGCAAATCTGGGTATGTAATTAATGTTGTAATTGAGAACTTGAACCTTTTTTTATCTAATTTATACTTATTTGCCCATCATTATTCTAATAAACTATGATGCAAGTGATTTAAACTTGATTGAGTTTCTTTGATGGCAATAAGAATATTTCTCCTTTTTTTTTTAGTTATACATATGAATTCTTTATAAATTTCACTTCATGTTTGATTATTTTTCTTAGAGCATAACAAGATCTATAAAACTTTTAGTAATAAAAGAATATAAATTCAAAAGAGATATTTTGCATGATTGAAAATTCTTATTTTATTTTAAAAAATCATAATTATAATTGATGGCACTATACAATATACAAAATTGTGAACTTGTACTAGATCCGATTTATGATGAACATCGTTGATTATCTGAATATCTTGGATAAGAAAATTATTTATTTGCATTAGTTGAATTCATATTTTATGATTTTGGAAATTTATTTTTATTAAATTTATATGCATAGTAAAATTCAGATTCTTTAGAGCTTGTTAAAGATTCTAATAGGTTGGTTAATTAGTTAGTTTCTTGACGAAAGTAATTTAATATGATTTCAAAAATTCTTTGATTGACACTCTCCACATTTTATCAATATTTGCTTCGGATTCAGCAACAACTTGCCATCAACATATATATTACTTTTTGTCTCCATTACTTTCTTCTGTTATTTTGCTTTCTGAAAAAAATTTATAAGTTTGATGAATAAAAAAGTCCAGATTCCTATAATAATTTAACCTCATTTTTAATTATACATTTATCTTTAATTCCTAATGTACTTTTTTTTCTTAAATTCTATAGGATATCAATTACTTTTAGAAAGATGGACAATGCTAAGCGACCACATAACTTCAAGCTTGATTCCAATGCTTATGAATCCTACCATACATATAACAGGATGCCTTTATAAGGTAATAATATTTGATCGTTTTTCTCTCTATAATTGTTCCATTTACATATAGATATTTTCAATGCAAATATTATATTTTTTTATTTATCTTCCTTTAACAATTTCTATATTTCATGACTAGTTGGTAGGCTTATGGTTGTTGTGATAATCAAGCTGTTTTAATTATATAATTTTTATATAGTTTATATAGCATCTATAGCTTAATTAATGAAGACCATCAATGACATTGTTATTTACTATGATATTTGATTTATTATTATCAAGAAAAAATTTGGATGTAGTTGTTGTTGAACTTTTTGAAGATCTTACTAAACCTATTGTACATCTTTCCTCAATGCCTTCTAGCATTATTTTAAATTTCTTGCTGCCATTGCAATTTATTGTAATTATTATTATTATTAAGTTCTTTATTTATGACAGTATAAGTTCTTTTTAAAATACGACTTTTTTCTTCAAGAGGAAATTTATTAGTGTTTTGAGCAAAGATAAATGAAATAAATCTAAATTTTATTATAAACCTAAATTGGATATAAATTATTTCAATTTATCATAATTGAAATATAATAGAAGTATAAATCATCTATATTTATACAAATTTTATATTTTATATTGATATAGAATTTTATATATTTGAATGACATATCATATTCTTTTTTCTTATGTTGTTATATATTTTTTAGGGGTGTCAATTCGGATCAGCGGGTCGGGTTCGGGTCGAACTCGGAACTGACCCGGCATTTATTCGGGTCAACCCGAACATGAACCATTTTTAAAAACGGGTCAGGTTTCCTGACCCGAACCCGACCCGATTCGGGTCCGGGTCAACCCGACCCGAAGTTGACCTAAAATTGCTAATTTTCGGGTCAAAATCGGGTCAATATTCGATTTTCGGGTCAAAATCGAGTCAAAATCGGGTCAATCTCGGGTTTTCGGGTCAAATATGAGTTTTCGTGTCACTTTCGGGTCAATTTCGGGTTGTTGGGTCAACCCGAACCCGACCCGATTTTTAAAACGGGTCGATTTGTTCAACCCGAACCCGAATTTTTCCGGCTCGGGTTCGGGTCGTGTTTCGGGTCGTGTCAAAAATTGACACCCCTAATATTTTTTATTTAAAATTTTATTCAGGTGTATCATGTGCACATGCCTTCATACTAGTTCAAAATAAGTGCATACAACATAATAACTCAAAGTTGAATACTAATTACACTGATAATTATTTAACTATTATTTAAAATAATTAATAATTAACTACTACTTACACTAATAATTATTTAATGAATTTTAGGTGTTATTTTAATAAATTTTATAGTATTAATTATCTCATTAATCAATTAAATATTTCATTATTAATTAATTAATATTTACATTACTAAATATCTAATTATTTATTTATATTTCAATTTATATCATTTAAGCTAATTAGGTATATTCTTAATGAAGAATATCATTTTTCTCTTGCATTGCCTAGAGGTCCTTAGTATTGTTAGGGTTTGCTTTTCCTCTTCTTCATTTCTTCGCTGACGCCTGCTTTGCTAAGGTAGAATTTTGAACGAACTCATCAAAACTGTTTAAATTCTGTATCCAAGCTACCCCTTTCAGATCAACATAATTACCTGTGCTAAACCCTGCTCGTGGAGACTGCGAACGAAGACTAATCGCAGAGGAAGACGCTGAGGCGGCGGTCGAGAGGCTGAGGTGAAGCAGGACGAGGGCGTTCGCAGCTACTCCACGACACGGACGCCGCGGGAGAGAGTTCTCGCGAGCGTTAAATCCGCCGAACCGAGGATTTACTAAATCCCGGATTTACGCCTTAAATCCGGGATTTACCGAGGATCGCGATTTACGGAGCGCTCGAAAACCGTTTGGCAGGATTTAACGTAAATCCGAGCGTAATTCCCATACCAAACATCCCCTTCGTTCCCGTTGATCTCGATAGAAATGGGTGAAATTCCGGGGAAGAAGAACGCGAAGCTGCCGATACCTGGGAAGCGGAACATTCTTATCACCAGCGCTCTTCCCTATGTCAACAACGTCCCCCACCTCGGCAACATAATTGGATGTAATATTTTAGCCATGAATTGGTTTTGATTCGCTTTTTTTAGCTCCCAATGGAAGTTAAAATTGGTATCTTTGGGCGTTTCTTGACGCCGTGATTGGAAAAAGTTTACTTTTTTAGGTGTTTTGAGCGCCGATGTATTCGCTCGCTACTGCCGGCTGCGAGGTTACAACACCATATACATCTGCGGTACTGATGAGTACGGGACTTCTACTGAAACTAAAGCGATGGAGGAGAACTGCACGCCTAAGGAGATTTGCGATAAGTGAGTTATTTTGCTTCTTTTTTTTTTCTGGATTTGCTGATGTATCCTCTTATTCTAGATGATGATTTAGGGTGAAGACAGTGTCGTCTCAGACCTCCTTTTTCTAGAATTCCATTGGGATTGTTCCCTAATAAAAATTTGTCCATTATTATCTCCCCAAATACAAATTGTATTCTTCTAGGCTCTCGGTACTCATTGTAATTATTTTTTTAGAACTTTGCACATCCATTTCATTATCACTCCCTCCACCAAATTTCATTGCAGAAAGTTCTTGATGAATTGATTTACTATTTATGTTCTTGTCTTCTCAAACTCCCTTAATTAACGCCACTGAGTATACATTCAAACAAGACAATTCTAATTATGCGTGGATAATACCTCATTCACAGGTTAAAATCAAAATTCAAACATTCATGCATCATGAGAAATTCAATTATTAATTAATATTATTAATCATGCAAATATATAAGCACTAATAGATTAAAGGGCTAAGATTTGCTGCAGCCAGACAACGAAGCACAAAGCCTACTATTTTGTTGTAAATTAGGAATTGATAAGTATCTCTTATGACAACATTGTGATTGAAGTAATCATGGCCACCAAAACAATATTGTTCATTTCTCTTCATTGTTGTTTGACCCGAATAACTCAAAGAATTTTACTCTTTTTAATGTAGAAAAATATTGATTGTCGTCCTTTTTTGTTATTTTGGTTAATTTTTTCTTCACAAACGCAATTGAAGGTTCAGAGCAGTAGATACATTGATATTCATCAAGGGGATTAGAGGCCATTGGAAATGTTAAGAAGAAAAATATCCAAAGATTAAATGAATTATAATCCAACAAAATTCATCACAGTTACAATGAAAGATTACAAAGAATGACTCAGCTTCACTAGGGAAAGGTCACTGACACAATAAATGGTCATGAATGGAACAAAATAAGATATATTCTCTGGAAAAGCTGAACTTATTTCTCTTGAGTAACAATTATTTTAGTGTTAATTTTGTGTAGAACAACTGTTTAAAATCAAGGATCAGTTGAATGCAAGCTTTATATCAACACCACTAGAGTCAATCAGGTGGAAGCTCGTATATACTTTGTTAGTTTGTCATGGAAAAAGTATGTTGGTGGATAATGATTACAGCTAAATCAGAAAATTATTAATGAAATTTGTAGTGAAATCTACATATCTTTTGTTGATTAAAAAAAAAGGCTCCTATCAAGCAGAAGGGGAAAAAAAACGAAGGTTTGTTGCAGCATATCATAATAACATTCTAGCGTTTCATTAAATCCACTATAGAATCAAAGACTTATAAAAAATACACTAGCCACCATGGAGTACAAATATGAGCAAAAAATCACAAATCTACAAAGTTCCCGAAGAAGAATTTCTTAAGCATGAATTAGGTTAATAAACTAGGAAATTTATTTGATGAAGGCCACATAAAACAATACCACAGGAAAAAAGATATCCGAACTACAATGGGGCTTTGGACCTGTGGGAATAGCTCCAGACGCACTGACAAGAAGGATGGCTTGTAGAATGAAAGGAGGGAGATTTTTCTTTTAGAAAAGAGAAAAATCCACAAATCTTGAAGCCGAGGTGATTTGATAAATCATGGATTTGACCCGGATATGGCCCTTGCCAAATGCACTCTTAGGCTTCGTTTGGGACGGCTTTTTTCTGCTTCTTAAAACAACTTTCTAGTACAAAAATTATAATTTTTATATAAGAAAGTCGCTTTAAGAAGTAATAAAAAAGCTGTCCCAAACGAAGCCTTAGTTGTGTTCTTAGGCATGGTGGGGAAGCATGAGCTTTAATTTCATTGAATTCAATTTTAAGAAGACAGATATTTGTTTTGTTTGGGTCTGTTTTGATTAATCTAGTTGCTATGCTGCTGAACTTTATTTTTGCTTTCAAAATGTACAAAGCATGCAGCATTATTTTAATTTATATGTTTAATTCTGGCTTGTTGCGTCCTTTCAACTTTTATCTCTTTGGCATGCAGGTACCATGCAATTCACAATGAGGTTTATAAATGGTTTGACATAAGTTTTGATGAATTTGGACGCACATCTAGTCCGCAACAGACTGAAATTTGCCAAGCAATATTTCAAAAGCTTTTGGAAAATAAATGGTTGTCTGAGAACACCATGCAGCAGGCATGTGTTTAAACTTATCTCATACTACTACTCTTTATGCTAGGGTATACAAATATGTAGATTCTTGTTAGATAAAATCTATCAGTTATGTTATGTACTTTAAATTGATATATTCCATAACTTTGATTTTAATTTACAATGTAGCTTTACTGTGATACATGCAAACGCTTCCTAGCTGATCGGCTTGTGGAGGGCACATGCCCTAGATCAAATTGTAACTATGAGTCTGCACGAGGTGACCAATGTGAAAAATGTGGGAACTTGTTAAATCCAACAGAATTACAAGATCCCAAATGCAAGGTTAGTTTTACATGTGGTGAGTTGATTGTTATATAAACTAGATAATTGAAAATATTTACCAATTTAGGCTTTGTTTGGGTTGACTTTCTTTCTGCTTCTTAAAGCTGCTTCTTTGTGCAAAAATTTTAATTTTGTACTAAGAAGTTATTTTAAGAAGCAATAAAAAGCCGTCCCAAACAAAGCCTTAATCAGGAACTATATTTTTGTTGACTAACTTTTGCTAAATTAGGTGTGTAGGAACACTCCACGAATCCGTGATACTGACCACTTGTTTCTTGAGCTCCCTTTACTTAAAGATAAACTAGAAGAGTATGTTAACCTCACGTCTGTGGTTGGTGGGTGGAGCCAAAATGCCGTTCAGGCTACCCATGCTTGGCTGAAAGAAGGGTTAAAGCCCCGTTGTATTACAAGAGATCTTAAGTGGGGTGTTCCTGTGCCACATGAAAAATATAGAGATAAGGTAAAACCTTAGCAATGCATTTTGTAATGTACAACTTTCATGTTTGAAATTTATATGTTTAATCTTGATGGAATCATGTACTTTGTGAAACTTGTATTAAGATGATAGTTTGAAAATTGATTGAAGGGTGTTATTTTCAAGGTGTTTTACGTGTGGTTTGATGCTCCAATTGGATATGTATCTATCACTTCATGCTATACACCAGATTGGGAGAAATGGTGGAAGAATCCGGATAATGTGGATCTCTTTCAGTTTATGGGCAAGGATAATGTGCCATTTCATACGGTAAGAGGGGGATGCGCATCATTTGAATATAACTTTGAGGTGACACGTTTCAATATACTTTTGTCTCTTTAGATGATCAATTATCAATTTAACATATATCCAACCACTTCAATTCGGATTGGGATTGGCATTGATATTTTGATGGATTCAATCCTTTTTTTGTCAATTATATTGCAAATTCACGTTTGATTTTTCTTACTAATTATGCCTTTGCAATGCCTGCACATTAAAGCATACATCATGTTTTCTTTCAAACTAAATTTCTTAGTAAAAGAATATAATGATGCAAATCTTGTCCAATTAGGTCATGCATACCAAATTACCATCATCAATAGCATTGTCATCTATTTGATGTTGACTTTTTGAACCCTTATTTTCTTATTTGTTCATGATGAATGCTGCGTGAGTTGTTAAACTTATCTCGTGCAAAATTTTTTGCACAACTTTTATCCACATTATCTTTTGGTTATCTCTTTTATGTTATAGTTTTGATATTAATTTTATTTTTGTCTTATGGGAGCATTTTCTACTTCTTGTTGTGCACGTTCAAACCATAATGTTCTAAATAATTGATTAGTTTGACATTCAAAGTAGCACAAGTCTATATGAACAAAGAGATGGAAAAGAACTAGTGAACCTGGAATCTCTTCTGTCTATATAACATTGTGTTAAAAACTTTTTTTTTAAAATTATTTCTACCAACTATTTTTTTAATGTAAGAGTGATTATATTCCCCACGTAGTGGGATAAAGGCTTGATGTTGTTGTAAGAGTGATTATATTATTAGAATTAGCATGGGATGATGATGTGATGTAATATTTATTATTCTTGCCCCAAGTATTTGTGATTGGCTAATAATAAGCAATTTGTGTCAATATAATTTTATTGAGATATTGATGGACTCCTGTTACATTGATAAGATTACAGGAATTTAAGGTCGTGTATTGTTCATCCTACTTGCAATAGTTATTATTCTTTTCAATTCTCTTCTAACGTGTTTGTGTTCTTTGTGTATGACAATTTTAGGTCATGTTCCCTTCTACTCTTCTTGGAACAGGTGAAAACTGGACATTACTGAAGACAATAAGTGTAACAGAATATTTGAATTATGAATCAGGTATTTCATCATCAATTAATGAAAATCATAAGTGCTACTTCAATACATTTGATCTTGACTATTTCGCAACCCTTTATGTCGTCTTATGTTTTTCTGCGTATCTTAAAAATTGTAAAAGCTATGTTTAGTAGTTTTTTTGATGAGGACATCAGTAGGAGATTCCGGAATGTCTACCACCGGAAGCATCGTAGATCGACGGCTACGATGAGGAGCTTATATATTTGATATTTTATGTATTAGTTCAGATTTTCTTTATTTACGTTTGTACCCTTGCTTGTGTGTTGAGTTGAGTTGAGTTGTAGCCCTATGAGCATTTTAGTCATTTCTTTTCTTTCTCTATGAGGCCTATATATTAGGTCCTTGGTATTGTATTTGAAGGATGATGATTATGAATGAAAATTCCATCTTTTCTTGTTTGATCTCTTTGTGAGTTCTTGAGAGGAGAAACCCTAGGAGAGGGCCATGCATCACCCGTCAGTCGCCGGTGGATTCCGGGACTCGCTGTTAGTACTCGTAGTATTTTCTTATCGTCTCTTCCTTTCCCTTACATCTGGCCACCTCTTCTTCCCCAAACACATGCCGGCCTTCCCCTCCCATGGATCCAAAATTAATTGTCTTGCCTCTTTCCAAAAGTGGAGCATGAAGATTAGGAGGGAGATCCAACTCAAAATCAGATTTCAAATTCAGATTTTGAATTCTTTCCTAAATTGACATAATCTATATTAGGAAAGTGCTCAATTCGCTGATCTAAGTTACCTATCCCAAGCCCTTGGCCGTCGGCTTGAAGCCTCCACCTGCCGGCCCCTTGCTCCACCACCTAAAGCCGCCGGCCACATCCTTCTCCCCCACAATAGCGGCCGGCCACCTAATTCCCTCCAAACTTTTGAATTCAAATCCACAATAAATACTTTCTTAATTTAGCCCCCCTAATTTAGGATGAGAATTAAATTCAAATTCAAAATATTTGAATTTCAAAACTCTTCTTAAATTCTCCTCCTTTAATTTAGGAAAACCTCCAATTAACTTAAATTTGAAATTAATTTCAGATTTAAGTATTTAATCCCCTTAATTGCTTGGGCCCACCTCCTTCATGCCTAACCCCTCTCTCTCTCCTCTCTCCTTGGCCGGCCTCTTCCCCCTCCTCTCTCTAATTAATTAGCTCCCATAAATTAAGGATTTAATTAATTCCCTAACCCATATTTGAATTTGAATTTCAAATTCTTTTCCCTCATTTAATTAAATCTGAAATTAATTTCAGATTTAATGCTCTTTTCATAACCCCAAACCTAGACCCCACAAATCCTAATTCGCTCCACACTTGGTCGACCCTATTGCTTGCCCATCTTATTGGAATTCCTCTCATCCCATGAGCTCTCTTGCAAGAAAAGAACTCGAGCATCTTCCCTCCGGACTTTGGTCGATCACCAATCGTCTACACATTGCCCCTCCTCCGGCTAACTTTCGTTGGATCTCTACCCCGGCTTCCTCTCCTTTGTGGTGGCATCTTCCGGATTGTGGCGATTCTTCATCCGCTAACCCTTAAAGAGTGCGAGTGCGGGAAACTCAAGGTGAATTCTCTCTTTGTTACGTGGTGGATTGTTTGTTTGTTGCACTACTTGTTTTCGTTATAATCTTGATGTTATTTTGAGATCTCGTCTCTATTTTGTGGTTACTTTCCATATCAATTTAAACAATTTTAAATTCGTAAAATCTTTTCAAAGTCAAACATTAAGTTTAAGTTGCCACGCCTAATTCAATCATTATAAATTTCTGCGTGCAATTCCGATGTGGTTTCACATCATTTTTGGTGCTATTGATTATCCTATTTCACATTAGCTACAGTGACTTTATATGGGGGTCATGCATTTTACTATTTTTTGTCTTTTCTATGTTCTGCTTTGAAGTTATGTTTGTGCTAGTTGCAAACTTTCAATCCTCTTAGTCTGAGACTTTTTGTTGGCTATCTAGGATGACCAATGGGTAGAAGTTTTGGAAGATTCCAGTATGCTTTTATAATTTTTTCTTATTACGAATTAATTTAAAGTTGCATGATAAACACAAATTCTCTTTGAATTATTGCTACGAACATCAGCTTATCGCACCTCAGACTTAACAGTAATTATTCGACTAGACCAATGCTAATGTTTCTCTTTCACCCATCACCTTGTAACTTGGCTGCTCCTTTTTTTTTTCCTATTCCTTAATGGTTTTGTTTCTCAATGTTTTTTGTCCCAAAAGTTTGACTCTAAAAGCTCTTTTTACAATCTTTCTTTCTAAATTAATCTTATGGGTGATTTTTTTCTAAGATTATGCTATGCCTTCACTCGACTGTTCATTTCATTGTCAGGTAAGTTCTCCAAGAGCAAGGGTATTGGTATTTTTGGTAATGATGCAAAGGACACAAATATTCCCACGGAGGTTTGGAGATATTATTTGCTAACTAATAGGCCAGAGGTGAGCTTTAATAATATCGGGTTTTCTGCTACTTCTTAAACGTTACCTAAGAACTTTAATATTGATTTACTAAATTTATCTTAAATTATAAATTGTTTGGGTGTAATTAGGTCTCCGACACTTTGTTCACATGGACAGATTTGCAGGCTAAGCTAAACACTGAGTTACTAAATAACTTAGGCAACTTTATTAACCGTGTTTTGAGCTTCGTCGCCAAACCATCAGGTTGGTATAAAGTCTTTCACATGTTATTGTTCTTGTATGCAATTTAGTCTTATCAATTTATAACTTGCTTACATTGTGCATTATATGAGTGGAAATCTTAAAAAACCTCAAATATTCGAAGAGTTTTGTAAATTTATAATGCATTATTATAAGTTAATATAACTTGCAATCATTCTTCTTATGGATAAAAAGGTCATAAGCTAATCATATTGCAATTTTGTTAGCCTAACTGTTATAGCTTTTCTTATTGCAGTTCATTTTTTGGTTGGAAGCGCAACCATAATCTCATAATCATTGGAATGATTTATGTGCCAACGGCTAACCTATTATCACAATTTTTTTTTTTAATCCTATTATCACAATTGATGTAGGCTGTTATAGGATTTAGGTTTTATTATATATCCAACAAGCAATGCAGATTTAGATGTGATCAACCATTGTGACAAGCTACCAGGTGATCAACCATTGTGACAAGCTACCAGATTTAGATTTAGATGTGCCAACGGCTAACCCTATAGAAAAATAATTGTTTAAGGGGCTATTTAGTTACAAGTATTTAGAAGTCAGAAGTATTTTAAATACAATGTAATGTAAATACAATATATTTGGAATTTAGGGGATCATATTATTTTGTTTGGTTGGAACTAATAAAATAAATCTAAAATTTAAGAAAAGTAATGAATAAACTTAGGCCCAAGAGGAAGAAACCATGAGACAATGTTTCTCGTCAACGACGATATAGTAGTGATCATGCAAAAACAGTAAGTGCAGATGCAGCTCTTGCGACATAATGTCTAGACTATTTGTAACAAAGGATGAGGTTGCATCAAATGCATAGGAAAAAGTGGTGGTGCCGCAGCGCGGAGCCAAAGGTCATGAGTTACGAGATTTCTCGAAATGCAAGAGTTTGCATATGGTGTGTTCCGAAGTTGTTCAATTTGGGGGATTTTGGAATACAATAAGAATAAGCTACCAGGTGATTTATGACTCCAACAATAAAAACAACATCAAGCCTACATCCCACTATATGGGGTTGGCTACATGAATCTTTTTTCTCCATTTTTGTTATATTGAAAATCAGATTCTCATTTAAATCTAATAAAATTAGTCCTTTCTAATACTTTCTAATCATTTTTTTTATCTACTATTGCGTTTCTTAACATAGGCGAACTCCTAGATTAGATTTTATGTTTTAATTTATTTAAATCTTTGTAAAAGGAGTATTTATTATTCATGATCTACTACTATTAAGAGACTATGATGTTATTTATTTTACCTTCTATAATTGATTTCAAGTTATATTTTAACATAAGAGCATTTGATGTTCCTCCTATTACTTTTAATGTTTGATTTTTAGGAAAAATTACACATATCACCTAAATCATACATTTTTAGAAATGTAACGCCTATCCCAAGACATGAGCTGTCACAATCATGCAATTGCTCTATCATGATCAAATCATAGGAAATTTGTTATAAAAAAAATATACGGGTTGGAGCATTATGTGAAGTTTGATATCTTGGTGATAATTTAATAAATAAATGTATGAGGTCATGGTTATTTAAAAGGCAAGATTTTGGTGTTGTGTAAAAAATTTCTTTTTGATTCTAAAATCTTGTAATTAGCTTAAAGATGCATTCATATATATATAAAAGAAGGGGCATGTTCCTAGCACATGCATTATGGAATGTATCGGGTAAATAAAGATGTAATTTCATTAAATAAATAAAACTAAAAAGAGAAGATGAGAAAAAGAACAAGAAAGTGAGAGAGAAGCATTTGATAGGTTAGACTTACATTTGCACAATGAGTTAGCTTCTCTTAAAATATTTAAAATTTCAAAGCTGATTGAGGGTAAGAATCCCAAAATAAGAAGAATGATTTGAAAATCCAAAAGCATTTGTATTCAGGCTATGGAATTTTCTTAAAATGCCTCATAAGTGATATTTATAAACTTCATAAAACACCGGAAAGATAAATATAGTTCTAAATAAGAAGTCATGTCATGTGGATATATTATGATTCATTCACTCATTGCTTTGGTACATAGTAAAAATGTTATAAACAAGTAATAGAAGAGTTTAGATTATTGTTACTTCTACAAAGTATGAATGATAGGTGCAATAGAAGATCCTTCCATTTGACATGAGAATTCATCATGTTCTTGAAAAGAAAGCAGATTGCTTCAACTTAAATCCAATAATCTTCCTATTGTCTCGCCGTAGATTTAAATGTTGAAATAAATTAGATCAGGAAAAAGGAAAGGAAACACGGAAGATTTATTATTATTATTATTATTGAAAGGAAAACAATCAAGTAGTTTCCTCATACATCTGCATGAATAAAAGTGGAGAGATTTCATTAGTTATATCAATCCTCCACTTTATTTTTCCATATTATCATGGCCGAAGATACCATATTAGAATGGCTGTTGTAGCTCCATGTGATTGGTTGTGCAAGCATCTTTGGAGGAATGTTTGATGCATGCTCATACCGGCATATACACTAATCAAGGATAGGTAGGTTAAGAAGGATGAAATGTATCTTCATCCATTTTTGGAATCAGGTTTCTACTAATTGTATCCTTGCTTGTTAATCATGGCTCTCTGAAAGAGTAGACTAATAAAATCCAACAACACATTGGAAATGATGAAACCAACCGCTTGGCTAGGCACACTTCTGTCTATCCACCCAAAGGTTAACAATGAATTTCATGGAAATCAATCATAATGAAGAATTTTCACCATCATCTATAACAAATTTTAAAAAAATCAGCTAATTTTATGTTATGGTTTGCCACATGATAACTTCAAAAAGTCAAGCATAATATTGTAAAGATACTCAAACATCCTCACTTTCACAATACATAAATAAGAGTTTAAAAAAGTCTCAAATAGGAGGTAGACCCATAAGATACTGTCAATGTTGTGACAATCTTACTGTACATGGTAGTCAACAGTAACTGTGTTGTTGCTTCTACCGCTCTTGGTTATTTTGTTGTTAGTTTTGTTATTGTTTATGCTTTCCCTATTATTCTCAATCCTTTGAACTATGTATGATCATGATTTCTAATGTTGGGTATTTTAATGTATAGAGTTACTCCTTACTAGTACTACAACAACAACAACATCAAGTCTTTATCCCACTACGTTGGGGGTATAGAGTTACTAATGCAACATAAAATAAAAAACACAATGATACCATAAAAAAATCACAAAACATAGGTCAACAAATTTCAACTGTTTTGTGAAGATAACGAATTGGGCAGTATTTAGCTATTCACATTGTAGTAATGATCTTGAAGATTTATGTTGATTGGAATTCCATGGGTTCATTGAAACCGTGCAATAATTAGTTAGAGCTGATAGAATATTCAACTTCCTATTTTTATAGGATTCGACATTGGAGGCATGGTTTTACACTAAAAAAAAACAAAAAAAAAAACTTAAAAGTAAATACGCATGAGTTGCATTCTCAATAAACACGGAATTTTATATTTGCATCACTCCCTTTATTGATTTCTTCTGCATTTTTTTTTGTGTTGACCTTAAAGACTTTTTTCCATCAGCAAACTCCTGAATTTGTTCTCACTTCAACATTACTAACATTCTTGCTAGAGTATGTATAGACCTGAACTCCTATTTCCAAGTTCTCCTGGGTGTATTTATTTGCAATTTATATCCTCGTTTTTTTTTTTTCAATTCAGCTTTAACAAAGTTCCATCTAATCCAATTCAATTTTATCAACTTGGTTAGTTTTATTTTCATTGCAAACTTCAAGCCACTGAAATTGGCACCACAAGGGTATTACTGTAAGGCTACAGTCGACATCACTGTTTGGCACATGAAACATTCTTGCCGTAAGCATGCTTTCTATGGAGAACAGATTAAGATACATGTACAATGCATGCATGGTTAATAGCCCAGTACTATAATTGATAATGTTCATGGTTTTATTTTGTCATCTGAGATTGATTTGTGATTATTGATAGTTGTCTTCCCTCTACGGTTTAAACCGGTTTTGGAATTCCATTATTGTTCTCCCACTTTCTTTCCAGCATATGATAAGCTTCTTTATCTGGCCAGAGTATTTCACTATTTGCCTAATTGATTATGGTTTGATTCCCCAGTCAATTTGTCATAATTTTCATCAGGAAATCTTTTGTGTCATCAGGCTGTTGAGGATTATAATTTTTCATAGACTGCAGCTTTACCTATAAGCTGTTTATGTACCTTCTGAAAGCGAGAAAGATTAAGGTAGGATGTTTTAGTCAATAGTAAGTTGATCTAGCAACTTAAAGAAATTAATCTCCAATTTGAATGACACCTAGATGGTTAGTCTTGTAAGCAAATTGGAAAGAGTGGAATATTTTTTGGCTGAGTCCTTAAGGTTAGGTAAGTCATGAGGTGTTGAAATTGTTCTTTTTGTATGGAATGGTGGATCAAACATTCTTCCTGCAAGTATTTCTCTTCAAATATTTATGCAATCATTAACTAAGTTTCTTTTACAGGATCCGGGTACAATTCCATCATACCTGATGCTCCGGATGCAGAATCCCATCATTTAACAAAAGCTTTGGCAGAGAAAGTCTCAAAACTTGTAGAGCAATATCTTGATGCCATGGAGAAGGTTACTGAATGAACCTAAAGCTTAATCACAAACTGTTATAATGTTGGAAATTTGCTGAAGCTTTGTTACTACTGCATAAATGATGCAAAATGTTCTATTTTTTATCTAATTCACAGGTTAAATTAAAACAAGGCCTGAAAACGGCAATGAGTATTTCAAGCGAGGGAAATTCTTATTTACAAGTAAACTTAATTTTTTATTTATATTTTAATGGCTAGAATTCTCTAATTATTTGATGTGATAGGTTTAACTGAATTGTTTATCCTAATAACATGTGATGTAGGAGAGCCAGTTTTGGAAACTCTACAAGGATGACCCATCATCATGTTCAATTGTGATGAAGACGTCGACTGGCCTCGTACTGCTGCTTGCATGTTTACTGGAACCTTTTATGCCTTCCTTCTCTTCTGAAGTAAATTATTTAATCTCTCATGACCTTTTCATTCTTGAACGGTTATAGTTTCTCAAGGTAAAATACTTATCTTTGGGGTTGTAACATATGCTTCAGGTGTTGAAACAGCTTAATTTGCCCCCGGAAACACATCTTTCATTGTGTGATGACAAAGGTGACATTGATAAGGCAAAGCAACCTTGGAATTTTCTTCCTTCCGGCCATAAAATTGGGAAACCTGAACCACTGTTCAGGGAACTGGTTAGTAACTTCCTTAGTATTACTTGATGGTATTTTGTCCATTGCCTCTTCAATTCGATGACCTTTGCTCTATACAGAAAGACGAAGAAGTGGAAAGCTTAAGACAAAGATATGCTGGTAGTCAAGCTGAAAGAATTGAAAAAGCAGAAGCTGATGCAAAGAAGATAGCTGAGCAACTTAAGAGTACAAAAATATCTGGTATTAACTCATCATTGTTGCTGTAAATGGATTACAGTTTTAGATATTATTCTATTTATTGATAATAACATTGGTCTTGTAGTTGTTGCCTAGTTTTGTTTTGTGTACGATGTATCTTGGCACATTAGAGCCTGATGCTGAGATGTTCTCATTCATATATAAATTACTGGCAAGCTAAGAGCTAACTGGGTTGGCTTACATGCCAAATGTGATGAAGCTGTATTTAGCGTCCATTTCGTTTGTTGGTACAATATTTAGAATATGGCATTATTCAAGGCTTATTTAATTTCTATGTAACAGCCCAACTGGGTCCAATTTTCTGAGTCCATTGCATTTAAGCTAGTGGTTTTCTTCTAAATAGGATGGAATTCTCTAAAACAATTTAACCAATTTGGACAAATGAGGTGACTACCCTTTGGAAAGCATGTATCTGGAAAAAGTTTGGGTTGGGTTTAGACTTAAACCCATTAAATTTACTTTGAAATAAGTGTAATACATTGGAAATCTATAAAAAAATTTACTTCACTCTCATTCAAAGTAGATCCAATGACTGAGGCTCAATATTGAACAAAAATTTTGTCTGGATATTATATCATGCTCTCACTGGTTCTTTTTTCTGGCTAGTGATCTGTTGTCTGTTGTCTGTTGTCATTAGTATTTTAAAGAGAGTCCAAATATGTTTTTTAATAGATCGTTAGATATGTATGAGGTAATTTTGTAAAACAAAGAGTTTATTTTTTAATAACTTTTAGGGTTGTTTGGCATAACCAGGGATAATTTTACACTTGTTTGATGAATCCACTGATCCCTTAGTCTTCTTGTCATTTACAAATTCATGACTTTCAATTCTAGATAATCTAGTCATAAAAGATTGCATTGCCTAATTAATTAGTAGCGTATCTTCACTTCATATATTGTAGAGAAATAAAATACCTATGATTTCGTCATGGTATAACTTGACTTTACGCAATTGGCATGCGTTATGTAATCAACCTTAAAGACTTTAACCTCTTTTTGCCCTCTCCTTGCAGGAGTAAGTGCAAAGAAACAACCGGCAAAATCCACTGTTAATACTAAACCAAAGGCCCCTGAAGCAGAAATATCTGTTTCAAGACTTGATATACGGGTTGGTCAAATCAGGAAGGTTCAGAAGCATCCGGATGCTGACTCTCTCTACGTTGAAGAAATTGATGTTGGTGAAGAATCAACTAGGACCGTTGTGAGTGGTCTTGTCAAGTTCATTCCTCTTGAAGAAATGCAGGTTAATGACTTGGACCTCTTTTGCTAAAATTCATTCTACCGATATTGTACTTTTGCCAAATTTTCTGATTTTGAGTTCCTAATGACTTGAACAGAATCGAAAAGTTTGTGTTCTTTGTAATCTGAAACCAGCAACCATGAGAGGAATTAAATCACATGCAATGGTATTTGCTGCATCAAATGATGACCACACCAAAGTAAGCTTCTCTTTCTCTAACTCTTTCAAATTGTTTATATGGTCGTCTAAGTTTTTAATTAACTTCATATCTTTGAAGACCCCTAAATTGATTATAGCCTCAGCTCCACATCTTAATATTTTACTATTGTGCAATATTTAGCTTAACTTAGTCATGCTCTATTTTTGTGACACCAAAGTGGATCGACCGGTCATCAAGCTCAAATGTAAACTAATTTACTTGGTTGATACTTTAACTACTATGCGCTCTACCTGATTGAGCCTTTATTACTACTTTGCATTTTGCTTTAATTCTACTCATCTCATGTTTGGATATCATTGTTCTTCTTTTGATTTAGGCTTTGTTTGGGACGGCTTTCTTTATGCTTCTTAAAGCAGCTTTTTAGTACAAAAATTTAAATTTTTGTATTAAAAAGCTGTTTTATGAAGCAATGAGAAAGCCGTCCCAAACGAAGCCCTAGTTTTAGGATCTCATGAGATTGGAAACTTTGAAATGTTCAGGTGGAATTGGTTGATCCCCCAGCATCAGCTGTAGTAGGAGAGCGAATTACCTTTCCAGGGTATTCAGGGGAGCCTGATGGTTTGCTGAATGCCAAGAGTAAGGTCTGGGAGAAGGTGCAGGTAGATTTGCACACAGATGCAGAACTTGTTGCTCATTACAAAGATTCTCCTTTTACTACTTCTGCTGGGATCTGCAAAGTCTTGTCCATTGCTAGTGGTGCGATTAGGTAGATTATTTAACTACTGGACTAATTACAATAAGTTTATGTTGAATTGTTGAATTAGTTATAGACACATCAAGTGTAGATTATTGTTATCATTTGTTTAACTAACTTAAACTTTTATTTAGAGACTAATTACAGTTAGAAAAAACTTAATTGTTGAATTGCTGAATTAATTATAAATGCATCAGCTGTAGATTATTGTAGTTTGTTTTCCTTGGTGAAACTTTCATGTGGAGAAAAGTTGTTCTCATATGGCAATTTTGCTCTGTGGAATCATCTGGAAAGTTTGAATAGCTTGATATATTTGGGTTGGTTGCTTTATGTTCTTGGCTTCAGCTTGTCTAGATGACTCTGGCAAGTGGAGGTTTTTTTTTTTTTTTTTCATTTTTGCGAAATTTTGAAATCAAGTGATCCAGCGGATATTTTATTTTTTCTTGGAACTATTGTGCCACTGCCTCTCCAGCAAAAATTGTAATATTTACATTGAATGCCATAGTGCAAAAAAACAAAGCAATTCTAATCTATTTATATTTTTAATATTTTAGAAATTCACTCATATTAAAGCATATACATGAAACATGTTTTTTATTGTAATGATAATTTCAAGGTTATTCAAAGATTTAGATTTTATATAAATAAATATAAAATTTATATATTAAATACCTAAATATTTAAGAATTTTATACTATGAATATAAATTTTTGAAGAAATAATAGATATCGATTAATAAATAAGTAAAGAGATGTTCAAAAGAGTGATCTTATGCAACTCATTTTGAACGGTTGATTAAGAATTTTCAATCAATTAAGAGGTTTTGAATTTGAGTCTTAGGTTTTAAATATGTGCATGAGTTTATTTTGATTGGCTTAAATATCCCTAAAAAATAGAAGGATGATCTTAGGTTTCAACCAGGAAAAGGCTGCTTCAACCACCAGAATAGTTAAAAAAAAAAGAGTGAATTAATATATTAAAAATAAGTCAAAATTAAAATTGTTGAAAATTCTGCCAAAAAAACACCAATAATAAAAATATTGTATAATAAAGACTATAAAAATCAAATCCACAATTCTTATAAGATCCATCCATTTAAGTGAAATAATTTCATTGTACCAAGTAGATTCATGTTTTCAGACCCAATTGAACAACGCAACTTATCCAAATCACAGAAATAGTCACCTGCGTACATGACTAAGCTAATTAGAAGCAAAAATACAGAATATATTAGGAACATCTGCACCAAGAATTCAGTCGTAAATGAAATAATAATTAGACATTTTACTTTCCAAATGCAGTTAATTCATCAAAGTTTCAATCCTCCCTTCAAAATGTTCCTTCCAAGCAGTTTTCTGACAAGTTTCTCTCCGATGCTGCATTTTTTTATACATAAGAAGGCCATGGCCAACTCATGAGCTGTACTACAGTGAATCAAAATCTAATATACTGGAACAAAAGAACAAATAGAAAATGTAAAATAAAATAAAATTTCCGAATCTTGCAATTCATTAATTTCATTTAGTATCCTCTTCATCTCCAGGCATTGGAACATAATCTGTGGCTTCATCTTCCTTGTCTTCCTCCACGGAGTTATTGAGATCATAGCCAACATCCTTCATCTGATAATCTACCTTGAAATCATAATCAGCATCCATATCATTCGTAGAGCTTATCTTTTGTGACTTTCTCCTCTTCTTCTCCGCTCTTCTTTTGCGAGGATCTAAGATGCCCTCGGCGCCATACAGCTTGTCATTTTGCCCACTTGTTGAGTTGGTCTTTGTATCCAAATGCTCTTCAACATTATCTGCCATTGGTTCTTCTTCAATTTGATCTTCTTTATGGTTCTCCACATCCTACAAATGGTTACAATATTACAGAATTTTAAGATTTTAATGAATTCCTTATACAGTCTCACAGAAGAATTTAAGATCATAAGGACATATTTGATAACCATACAACGCCCATCAATTAAAAAATGTGCATGGCATACATAGCCAACTGACCCTTTTAGTTTAGGGTTTAGGGTTTGACACAGCTCATCTTGACCAATTGGTTGAGAACTTAGGCTTCCAACGAAGAGGTTTTGGGTTCGAGTCTTTGTGTATGTGTTGTGTGTGTGAATTTGCCTTAAATAGCCTAAATGTCCCGGAAAAAAAAAAAGGACAGAATTGGTAAAATAGAAAGTGGGTTATCGGCTCTGCTGTTTAGATAACAGTGCTATATGTTCCTTAGAAATATCAACTGTGATCATAATATTTCATTAGATAGCCTGACATTACATAATTGTTATCAAGGAAAGAAACATTCCTAAGAGTAGTGCAGATTCAAATAAAATGGTTTTTGTGTTAAAAGAAAGACTGGCAAGTTGAAATCGTTCATCTTGAAAAGGTAATTCATAAATAAATTATAAGAAAGAGAAGGAACAAACTTCATCTAGCATCTGCTCATCAAATTGTAAAGGAGCGCTTGGAGGGACTTCAACATGAAGAAAATCTTCAGCAGATGCCAGGCTGCCAATGTAAGAAGACTCATTATTGTAAACCTCGTCAACATTGAATTCCTTCCCTAATTCTGACACGATTGCTGAATCCAAAATCCCTTCTTGATTTCTACTTGGTGGTAGGGTGTAATATGGAATTTTTCCTGGGCAAGGTTAAATAGAATCACTCAAATGCTTCTTGGAGATTCAAAATATTAATAAAGAGGACAGAGAGCATACCCTCGTTCCAGTCATGCAGCACAATCCTTGCTGCAGCTTCGGGATCCACTATGCCTCCCTTCTTTAGCTTACCTCTACTGGTAGCAACTTTCTGCAGGAACTCGTCAATTGAACTGAAGCTAGATATATTGTATAGTGACATCAGTCTCTCAGCTGGGCAAAGCTTGAGTATCTCCTTAACTGCACGTAAAATCCAACAAGTAAATCATCAAGCCACCAACAAAACTAATTTTTAGATTAAGATGTTAAATCAATACAATTTGAAAAAAATTATTATGCTTTTCTGACATTATCATTAATCAACTGCCTTCCAAATAATCAAAAGATGCTATTTCTGCCCTTTCATATTGATCTACTTAGGCTTCGTTTGGGACAGCTTTTTTACTGCTTAAAGCAGCTTTCTAATAATTTATACTAAAAAACTGTTTTAAAAAGCAGTAAAAAAGCCGCCTCAAACGAAGCCTTAGTTGCCCTTCAAATAAAGAGGCTATCGAAAAATTACCAGGACTAACTGGATCATCCAACTTTTCAATTCTTTTACAGTTGCGGAGAACAGTAGCTGCATCATTTTCACCAGAGCTCAGCATTACAACACCAGGGCAGTCAAGTAGCTTCACATTCTTATCTAAATGAATTTCTTGCATTGATCTTGTAAGCCCAGGAGTAGCACCAACATTGACAACGTGAGATCGCTTCAAGCTATTGATAACACTACTCTTTCCAACATTTGGAAGTCCAACAATACCCACAGTAATTGACAATTTAATCTGCTCAGTAAAAATATATATTATTTTGATTAGATGTACATCTATTCCTTTCAAACACTTGGAAACTTCAAGCACAAAAAAAGAACTTTGTTGGAATATTTCTCCCATGTTTAGGAGCTAAAATAAAGCAGAGCTCTCTACAATTTTCCCATGCAACGTCATCGCAAGGCAAATTTGTATTCTAATAACAGCTGCTCATAACCATTTCATTACTTCAGACAGATCTTTGAAAGTAACAAGCAATGGAAATTAGCCGGTGTACTCACTAAAAAAGTACAAACCTATTCAAGCTTATGCAGTGGCTGTAGATTTAGGCTTTGTTTGGTACGGCTTTCTTTCTGCTTCTTAAAGCACCTTCCTAGTACAAAAATTTTAATTTTTATACCAAGAAGTTACTTTAAGAAGCAATAAAAAATTGTCCCACACGAAACCTTACTCTACTTCAAGCGGTGGGCTTTGCTGTTATTCATTTAAAAAAAACACATAAAAGTGATTTTGAAGAGCTGGCAGTGTTGTTTGAATTTTATCTTGAAATTTTAATGCTACAACAACAACATCAAACCTTTATCCCACTATATGGGGTCGGCTACATGAATCTTTTTTCTCCATTATGTCCTAATAAGAGTTAAATTTTCATTTAAATCTAATAAAGAAATGTTATTTCTAATATTTTCTAACAAAGTCTTTTTAGTTATACACTTATACCTCTAACTTTCTTAACATAGGCCAAATCAAATACATCTACTCTCCTAACCGGGCAATCGGACGACCGCCGTTTTATATGACCAAACCATCTAAGGCGATTCTCTCTAATCTTATCTTCCACAAGAGCTACTCCAACCTTTTCACGAATATGCTCATTTGGTATCATGTCTCTAAGAGTAAAGCCACTCATCCACCTAAGCATCCTCATATCTGCAAAACTTAACTTAATATTATGCTTCTCTTTTAATGGCCAACATTCTGCACCATAAAGCATTGCAGGTATAACCACCAATCACCATCTTATAGAATTTTGCCTTAAATTTGAGGGGAACTTTTCTATCACGTAATAAGCCCAATGCATTCCTCCACTCCAACTGCCTTGCGAGCAAAGTTCAGAATTGTACTTGGAATTTGTCTTTTATCTCTTGTCATGAGGTAATTGGAGAGTACTTCATCCTGGCCGTGGTGGTTTTTTCAAACATCTAACTTGAATTCTACTAATAATATCCCCATATATTTCACCATTACTCTGAACAATAGACTCAAGATATTGAAAACATATACTCTTATTAATAACTTAATATTAAAATATTGGAGAGCAGGCAAAAGACCTAACAATCCTTTTTAAATGAGTTTATGCAGACGGGGAATTTTGAATTTAGCTTTCATGGAATGAAAATATTAGAGAGCATGCAAAAGTTATAAAGATCCTTTTCGCACCAGTTTAGACAGATGGGCATATACAACTCATTTGAGAAATTCAAATTTTAAGTACCAACCAAATGAATTAGAGATTTTAAATTAAAATGGGGAATATTTTCTATAAAATGGTGTTAACTTAAATTTAAATTGAGGCTAATCATGCGCAAACCTCATCTACTAGTCAATTCATGAGGAGTCTACAAATAGTCATATGAGGCATGTAATTCAAACTTTTGAGTTAAACAAAAATTTCTTTCTAGTTTCAATCTTTCGAGATCTATCTTCCTAGTTTTAATTTGAGTACAAATAGGATCTATGATACCTTCAAGAAAAGAACAAATGCAACTACCCTATTCCGATGGAATTCATCTCCTTATATCATCATGAGGCTTGATTTTTCTCTGACAAATTCGTTCGTTGATTTATTTCACTACATAAATTACAAACTTATTTAGTGTTATTAATCACATTAGTTTGATTCTTTTTGCTTTCATTTAATAACCACTTTAGGTTACAGCGGTTGCACTAGTTGTGCCCTTTTTATGCTCCTTTTTTGTTCTATTGTAACACCTTGCATGATATAACAAATTGATAAATTTATTTGGTTTCCCATGTCTTCCTTCATTGATTATTAAAAACGGCATTAAAAACTAGATGGATAGCAATTGGGGAGGCTCAATTGGCTTTGGAACAAAACTAGAGAAACTAACATCAAACTTCCAAAGTCTCATCATTAAGCAGAGGTGAGAAATTCATAGCATAAAAGATGGTTGTTAAAGTTGCCTCGCAACTAAACTGATCGACAGGTAGCCATACCAGCAATTGGCAAGATAGATGGACGATGATTTCAAGCTCTGCTGTGTCCCAAATAACTTGATGCTCTGGCTCATCCAGAGTTTCTTGACCCATAATGTGTTTGATCATACATAAGCAATATATTGATTTTCCTCCCCAACAACGACCTCGATGTGGTAGCATCGTCCTTTGTAACGATCAAGACTGGTAAGTCCATCAGTCCACACAGTTGTCCATGTACCAGTAGAAGATTCGGCAGCTACCGCAGCCCCCGCTTCTTCAGGCGGAACTCCCGGTTGAGGAGTTACTCGGAATGCTGCCAAGATATCAGTATCTTTGGTTTCGTAGTCAGGAGTATAATAAGTCAATTTGTAATCTTTAACACCAGCTTTAAATCCAACGCTTGCTTTAGTCTCTGTTTGTGGTGACATAAGTCCCTCCCTACAACTCATGAATTAAGAATTCTCACAACAACAAGGTCTACTCGATATAAATTAGGCGTGAATGAAACCTTTGACAAAAATATTTACAATTCAAAAAAGATTCAACTAAACTAATATTATCATGAATAATGAAAATTTGAAAAGGGTTCGTTATTGGACCATTAAATTACCATAACACATCAAGAAAAATTAGTGTAGAGTCCAAAATATTAGAACAAGTTTAACCAGTGAATGAGAAAAATAAAGAATGGAAAATCACAAAAGGATTCAAACAATGGCTGAATGGCTAAATAAAGTAGCCCTAAGTAGACATTTAACTGTAGGAAAACTGCAAGCGTATTTAGGCACTTTTCTTTCAATTGAAGTTCAAATATAAAAAACAAAACTCTATATAAATAGCTTGAAGGTGAATTCTGACGAATTATAATAATCATATACCTCACGACTTCTAGAATAGTTCTTAAGCAGCTTTATGAGAGTTTCAGCTCCAAGGCAATCGCTAGTTTTCAAAATGTTGCTAGTTTTTGGGACCTTTGATGTGGATTTCCATCCTAAATTCGACCTTTGCTCTTGAGTACTGCACTTAAATGCAACAGCAGGTAACTCCTCCCTGAGATACTTGAGCCATTTCTGTGCAGCCTCCCGAGGAACCAAATCTATGATGTTGAACATAACATTAGCGAAGGAAGAAAACATCTGTAAAGAAACAAGTAATAAAAGATGCTTTTATTTTCCCAAGTTCCAGTTTACAGGATCTTCAGATGAAAGCTGAAAAAAAAAAGTTAATGGATTTTGGGAAGATGAGAAGTTGAGAAGCCACCTATCTTGTTCAAAAGCAAAACCATGCGCTTATTTGGGTTGGACTTCAATATCATATTTTCCATGTCAATGCAACGACTACCAAGGGGATCTCGGGCATCAAGAACCTCCAAAATTACATCTGATGCTTCCACAACTTTTACGAGTTCCTTGTAGAATGTTCTTTCTGAATGATCTAAGGAATGTCTATATTCAGTCAAAATCAAAGTTCATTTTAAAATGTATGAAACTATGACTCAATTGGCAATTCTAAACAAATTTCAAGCACCTCCATGCGACTACAAGTACTGTTAAATAATCATGTACCATAGCTTTTAGTTACTGCAGAAACTTCTTCCGTGATTATTCTATTTGAAAACGCATCATCTTTGGCAGAAGCTTCAAAAGCCAATTTCTCCATATCATCACCAAGTAAGCCCAGTTTTCTTTTCTTAGCCTGCAATGACAAAATAATCAACCATTTGTTCATCCATATCCAAAATTTTAGGCTAAATCATATAAAAGCATTCCATTAATTTCCAAAAATTTAGCTATATTATCAACTAAATAGCTCTAAGAAAAATCAATTCAATGTATATGAAGACTGATAATAACCGCAATATCAAGGTTGAACACATACAGTAAAATCAAATGCTCAGCAATCACTTCCCCTAGCTGCTTATTTATATAAGATACTACCCATCAGTGGTGAAAACAAGTAACTCAACCAAAGTTTGAAGAGACAATAATATCTAAATACAGACAAGCCTTCCACATTCTCGATTCTATAATTGAAAAAACATCAGCTTACTGAGCAATTACCACCTCAATTTCACATAAATATCAATCCTTGCTCAGAATGCCACATCCTATAAACTTCACGATGAACCCCAAGAATCTACATGGAAATTTTGAAATGCCTATGCAGCACTCATCTTTAATCCAATAATACTGTCCATAATCCATATCAACGAGTTTCAATAGATATTGGCAGGAATAATCTATGGTAAAACCAGCATGATAACCGTATAGTCATTCAATTGCAGTCAACTTTTTGAACACTCTAATAAAAGAAAATATTTTTAATAATTAATTTATAGTTTATGGCACATAGAAGAGTACTCTCTCTTTCCTGGCCGCCTTTTTCTGCTCCAATTCATCCAGCGCACGGGCTCTCCGCTCTTCAAGCGCCTTGAGTTCCTGCTCCTTGAATGGCCAGTCATTAGGGATGCCCGGATCCTTCTCAACTTTACGCTTGCGGTTCAATCCAAGCTTTTTTGCTTCCTTTGCCTTCTTCTTGTGATGCTCCTTGACCTTTCGTAAGACCTTGTACTTTTTCTTGAGAGAGATTCTCTTACTTTTACTCTCTGCATACACCAAAAATATAAAATTAGTGGCGCGGAGGATCATATTGACTCCAAATTGTAGACTAAGTGCAAATATGAAGAAGATGGACAAGCTTACTTTTGCTCCTCTTCACCATTTTTGTCGGTAGAACAGAAAAAAAGCAGACCCGCTAAAAAATCTAGCAAAGAAAGAGAGCGTAAACACGTTGCGCTGCCGCTTATTACCTCCAAACGAAGCAACCTGTGATCCTCAATACAAAGGCGCAGTGGTAAACCTAGACGAAGGGGCTGTTCGGCAAATCCTGCCAAACGGTCCGAATAACCAAAATAAAGATTAAGGGGCTGTTTGGTATCGGATTTACTGTGGGATTTATGCTAAATCCAGCAAAACGGTTTTTTTGCGCACTTTAAATCCCGGGATTCCGTAAATCCCGGATTTACGGCTTAAATCCCGGATTTACTAAATCCCTCGGTTCGGCGGATTTAACGGGATTTAAGATTAGAAGCGCGCGAAAGGGAGAAAGTTAACCTCACAGCCAGCGAGCTCCTGTTCTTACTTCCGATCAAAATGTCGTAACTTCCGATTCGACAGGAAGCGAAATTCGTCGAAGGAGCAAAGTCGAACAGCCACAAAGGAGCCGAAGAAGCGAAGCGTGCAATCTATACACCTGCGAAGCAGCGAAGCAATGAAGCCGAAGAGCAAGGACAAAAAGAGAAGATGAAAGGCAAACCCTAGACGCCTCTAAGTTATTATTGATTAACTTAATTAATATAATTTAAAATATTAATAATTAAGTAAATTAATTAAATAATTAATAGTATAATTAGTGCATAAATTAATTATCAAATTTAACTTAATTGTATAATTATTAATTAAATATTAATATGATTAGCTTACTTAATATAACTTAAATATATATTATTAATAGTGTAAATAATAATTAATGAGTAATTTATACTTAATATGTTATTAAATTTGTAACACGATAATTTTATTTTTATTTATAAATTTTTTTTATTTATAATTATATTATTCACATTTAAATCTTGACTGTCATAAATCCTAAAATATGTTACCAAACAGTTTCTCTGGATTTAACATGATTTAATATTTGGCATACCAAACAGTTTTCAGGATTTAACACATTTCAGATTTATTAAATCCGGATTTACAAGATTTATTAAATCCCACTAAAATTAAATCCCACTTGTTGCCAAATAGCCCCTAAATTTTTCTTGTGAGAGTAGTGGCGAGAAAGAGAAAGACAGAACGACGAGCAGGAGGAAGAGAGTAAATGTAATTATTATTTTCTAATCAGAGCTTATTACAATTATATATATAAGTAATGGTAGGAGAGATAGAGACAATAGGTATATGTGGGACTAAACTATAACGGCTTATGCTTATATTCTCCCTCAAATTATGCATTCGGTGATTGAATGGATAATTTGTTACATAGATATTCAAAGCGTGAGACAGCGAATGGCTTTGTTAAAATGTCCGCAATCTGTTCTTGTGAGGAGATGTGTTGTATGTTGATGTTGTAGTTCGAGATGTGGTGACGGATGAACTGGAAATCAATCTCGATGTGCTTTGTGCGAGCGTGAAACACCGGGTTTTTGGCTATTGCAATTGCGGTTATGTTGTCACAGAAGATGGTGGTCGGTGATGTTTGATGCAGCTGGAGTTCATCAGCGAGTCGTCGTAGCCAAAGTACGTATGAGGTGGCTGCGGATAACGCTCGATACTCGGCTTCGGTAGAAGACTTGGACACGGTGATTTGCTTCTTAACCGACCAAGAAATCAGATTCGGTCCCATAAAAGTGCAGAAACCGGAAATAGACTTGTGGTCGGTTGTGTCAGAGGCCCAGTCGGCGTCGGCGAATGTGCAAAGGGTGGTATCGCCGGCCGTGATCGGTAGACCGAAGGAGACGGTACCTTTGACGTAGCGAAGTACTCGTTGCAGGTGTTGGAAGTCACGGTATGTCGGATTTTGCATTTGTTAACACACCTGATTAACTGCAAATGCTATGTCGGGTCGTGTGATTGAGAGATATTGTAGAGCTCCAGCTAACCGACGGTAGAGGAAGGCATCATAAAATGGTTGGCTATTTGGCAGTTGATGTTTTGATGCTGGAGCAATGGGTGTGGGAGCCGATTTGCAATTGGAGAGTCCGGCTTCTTCAAGTAATTTCTGAGCGTAGTGTCCCTGCGAGAGAAAAAAGCCTTTGTAAGATCGTGTGACTTGGATGCCACGGAATAGTGAAATTTGTCCCAATTGTTTTAGAGCAAATGCGGATCGAAGCTCGTCAAGAATTCTCTGAATGTGTTTTTGGTCGTTTCCTGTCATGATAATGTCATCGACATAGATTAAAAGATAGATTTGGATATGAGCTTTTGTAAAGATAAACAGAGATGGACCAGAACGACTACACCTGAAACCGTTTGACTGAAGTACCGTTGTTAGTTTCTGAAACCATTGACGGGGTGCCTGTTTGAGGCCATAAAGAGATTTGTGAAGATGGCAGACGGCATCCGGGAGGAGTGGATCCTCGAAGCTTGGTGGTTGGCACATGTATATGTCGTCCGTGAGGTCTAGCTGCAGCATTGGCCAATTGCGGTTGATTGCAAGATTTAAGAGTAAGCGTATGGTTACCATTTTGGCTACGGGACTGAATGTCTCGTTGTAGTTCTGACCGAAGGTTTGAGCATAGCCCAGTGCGACGAGTCGTGCCTTGTATCGATCAATTTGGCCATTTGGTAGTTGCTTGATTTTGTAGGTCCATTTGCATCCAATAACCGGTTTGTCAGTCGGTTTCCGCACAAGTGTCCAGTTTTTTGTTTGAGGAGAGCCTGATATTCGGTATTCATTGCATCCTGCCAGATTTTGTGTTATGCTTGTTTTTAAGTCGTGGGGACAAGTTGAGGTTCGGAGTTGCTTAGAAGGCGTTTTGGTTTTGTAATGCCAGATTTCGATCGTGTTTGCATAGGATGGACATTTGGTGCAGCTGTGTGGTTGGGCTCCGGGGTTGGTAGAGACGTACGAGTCTGAGTTTTTGTTGTAGGAGGTGAAGGTGGTATGATCTGTTGAGTTGGAATAGTTGTATGAGTTATACCTTTAGTCGTGGAGATTGTTGAAGTAGGTACGAGTAGAAGCGGAGGAGTGGTGGAGCTGATTTGCTGCGAGCTGTTTGTGTCCGAATGAGGTTTGCTGTGGAGAGGGAAGATGGTTTCTTGAAATTGTACATGCCGATATATGTGAACCTTGTTGTTGCTTAAGTTGTAGCATTTGTATCCCTTGTGATTAGGTGAGTAACCAAGGAAAAGGCTTTGTTGAGATCTCGGTCGAACTTGTTATGGGTGTACGGTTGTAGCCATGGAAAGCATAGGCAGCCGAACGTCCATAGTTGTGAGTAGTCCGGAGTTGCGTTGTAGAGCAGTTGGTAGGGAGATTTCAGTGATAGTGGTTTGGAAGGTAGCCGGTTGATGAGATAATTGGCGGTAGCAATTGCGTCCAGCCAGAACTTGTCCGGTAAGTTAGCTGCATGGAGCAAGGTTCTTGTGATGTCAAGAAGATGCCGGTGTTTTCGTTCCGCTAGTCCGTTTTGTTCTGGGGTATGAGGACAACTGATTTGATGTACTATGCCGTGAGATTGAAGAACTTAGTTGAATGCTGTACTCGTGAATTCGCCGCCGCCGTCTGAGCGGAAACATTTTGGTGTGCGGTCGAATTGGTTTTTAATGAAGCTGAGGAAGTTTTTAAAACAGTTAATTGTTTCAAATTTTGAATTCATAAAGTACACCCAGCTGTAGCGAGTAAAGTCATCTATAAACACAACATAGTAACGAAAGTTAGTATGTTCGGATTGAGGAACCGGCCCTCATAAGTCCGAGTGAACCAGATCAAACGGTTTATAAGTTTCAGAAGTTCTATTACAAATTTTCTGTTTATGGCTTTTAGCCGTTTGACAAGAGATACAGTGAAAGTCTGAAGGAATTTTATGTAAAGCTGAAATAGAAGAAGCAAGAACATTAAAGACTTGACGATTCGGGTGCCCGAGTCGAGCGTGCCATGTGGTCGATGTGGGAGCAGTAGTTTGAAGTGCCCGCAAGGTGTGATCAGGTGCGTGCTGAAGTTCGTAAACTCCATTATGCAGACGACCATGAAGAAGGATTTGATGATCCTGTAGATCCTTAACATGAAAACCGTTAGAATCAAATGTAATCGATATGGCATTGTCTTTTGTTAATTTGGAAACGAAAAGTAAGTTGTGTGTGAGAGCGGGGACGTGAAGAAGGTGACATAGATGCAGCTTACGCGGAGTGTTGGGAAGTGGTAGCAAACCTTGACCGTAATTTTGTATGGACATGGTTGAGCCGTTGGCCGTCGAGACGAAGTCCGGTCCTTGGTAGTTGGTTGAGTTCTGAAGAATGTTACCGTCTGAGGTCATGTGTGCGGTGGCTCCAGAGTCTAAAATCCAGCTTTAACTGCCTTCTTGTGCGGGTTGAGCAAGATGCGCTCGGGGTGCTAAGGGCGTAGTTGAGTTGTAGTTCATGTTGCACCGATGCCAGCATGTGAGGGCGGTGTGGCCGATTTTGCCACAGATTTGGCACGTCGGGCGGTGACTGGTAGAAGAGTTTGGTCCTGTATTTTGTGTTGCAGATTGATCGGGTCCTGGAGATGATCGATTGTTGTTGCTTCGGTATTGGTTTGCTCGTTTGGGGTTCTTGTACCGATTTGGGTTGGATTTGGTTGTGTAGAGTGCCATGGGCACATGAGACGGTTCTTTCTTGAGATCTTGATTTATGTGTAGCTCCTCGCTACAGAGTAGCGAATAGAGGGAATCAAGATCGACGGGAAGGGATGAAGAGCGTATGTAAGTTTTGATTGAGTTGTATTGGGCGGGTAGTCCATTTAGAGTGTACAAGATGATGTCTTCGGGATCTAGTTTGGTACCGGACGCAGCGATTGAATCGACAATGTGTTTTACCTTTGCCAAATATTGCTGCATAGTAAGCGTTTGCATTTGGATATGGTGGAGCTCGTTCTTGAGCTGAATTATCCGTGAGCGACTGGATGCTTGAAGGCGCTTTTCAAGAACCGTCCAAACTTCGTGGGCGGAGTTGGCGGTGATGACATACGGCAATATTGTTTGAGAAATGGTGGAGAAGAGAGCTGACATGAGGTTATTGTCGACTAGTCGCCATCTTGCAAGGTCAGCCGTATGTGTTTCCGGTGGTGGTTTGGCACTGCTAGTGAGGTAGTCTGCGTACCCGTTTGCCGATAGATGCTGATAGATTTGTGTCCGCCATAGGGTGTAATTCTCGGCGGTGAGAGTGTAAGAAATCAAGTTCTTGATGTTGGAGAGGATGAACTTTAGTGTCGGCAGGATGATGAGCTCCGGCGTGCCGTTTGGCGCGGTGGTAGTGGAAGCGGGTTGGATGTGGGAGGTAGATTCTTGATCCCCCATCCTAGCAGTCTGATACCATGTGAGAGTAGTGGCGAGAAAGAGAAAGACAGAACGACGAGCAGGAGGAAGAGAGTAAATGTAATTATTATTATGTTCTAATCAGAGCTTATTACAAGTATATATATATAAGTAATGGTAGGAGAGATAGAGACAATAGGTATATGTGGGACTAAACTATAACTGCTTATGCTTATATTTCTAAATTCCATTGAACTCCATTTCTGTTTCGATGTAAATTTTGGATAATAAATTCT